CCATGATTCACAACAAACACCTCTTCAAGAATAAGGTGGTGCTCGACATCGGCTGCGGCACCGGTATTCTCAGTATGTTTGCCGCTAAGACGGGCGCCGCTCATGTCATCGGGGTTTGTGTCCTATTATTTGTTTCATACTATACTTCACGACTGTATTCAACTGTAGTCTTAAAGTTTACTTCTTAACTAACATTGAAATGAATTGACAGCTATTTCTCGATTATAATACCCAATGTTTAACCCAATGTTTAACCCAATTATACCCAATGTTTAACCCAATTATACCCAATGTTTAACCCAATTATGATGTATTGTCCATCAGATCGAGTGCAGTGGTATTGTGAATCTGGCCGAACAAGTCATCAAAGACAACAACCTCTCGCACAGTAAGTCCTCTTTAGTATGTCGTGAAAGTGAGTGAATGTCTAAACATTTATCAATTGATTTGTTTCAGAAATCACTTTAATTAAGGGTAAAGTGGAAGAGATTGAATTGCCGGCCGATTACCCCAAAGTCGATATTATAATCTCGGAATGGATGGGCTATTGCCTGTTCTATGAGTCGATGTTAGACACAGTTATTTATGCCAGAGATAAATGGCTCGTAAGTCCATACAATTGCACTCATTGTGAAGCAATGTTTAATTGCATGTGTTGTTGACCAGAATCCCGATGGCCTCCTATTCCCCGACAGAGCGACACTCTATATAACAGCCATTGAGGACCGTCAGTATAAAGACGACAAAATCAATTGTAAGACCATTACTGCCTTAAGACTTGTTATGGAGTTTATAATTGTTTGATTGGTTGAAAGGGTGGGACGATGTCTATGGCTTTGACATGAGTTGTATCCGAAAGATAGCGATCGCCGAGCCGTTAGTCGATGTGGTGGACGCCAAACAAGTGGTGACCACCAACTGTCTCATCAAAGAAGTCGACTTATACACCGTCACTACTGCGGACCTGATCTTCAAATCAAACTTTCACTTATCCGTGAGAAGAGATGACTACATCCAGGCGTTCGTCACTTACTTCAACATAGAGTTCTCGAAATGTCATAAGCGCACCGGATTCTCCACCTGTCAGTCCCCTCTATGCCTTTAAACACTGTCTTATAGTTGACTAATCTATTGATTGTATGATTAGCCCCGGAATGCAATTACACTCATTGGAAGCAAACCGTCTTTTATATCGACGACTACTTGACTGTGAAACGCGGCGAAGAAATCAATGGAACCTTTATGATGACCCCCAACCCTAAGAATAAGGTCTATATCGACAGCATTCATGTTTAAAACCATACCATTCATACCATAAGTTTAAAACTCATCTCAAATACTCTTTCCTTTTATAGCGAGACATGGATTTCGAGATTTTGGTCAATTTCCGGGGCGAGCTGTCCGAGCTCCAGGAGCCGTTCACTTATAAAATGCGTTAATATTTGTATTTATAATTTAGGCTTAACTTTAAATTTGATGAAACGCTAGATTAATAATTGAAGACATTTGCTATTATTATCTATTTTGAACATTTAATTTAAAGTCTAATATTAATCTTATAATTAAAAATATTCTTCTGAAGCGTCGATTAGTAATTATCTCTTGAAAACGATTCAATAGTTTGTCAATTGCTTTACAGCTATACATTCGTTACCACTATTAATGTCTTTTTAAAAAAAAACTTATTTTTTGTATTTTAAAAATATGTTTAAATATGTATTATTATTATTATATCTAATACTATATTTAAATCTGAGTTAATATATGACTTTTGTTTCTATTTTCTCATTAGTATTTTTAATCATAAAATATAAACCAATTTTTATAATATATTTATTCATTTCATTTGTTGTGTTGTGTTGAATGCATTTGAAGTGTGCGATGGCTTTGAGTTTCATGTGTTTTCAATTTGTCAACATTTTATGTACAGATAATGAGTTAATTGTTTGTGAATTAGCGTTATGTTTGACTCGTTATAATGCATTCATTAGACCCGCGTTTGGTTGTCATGACTGCGAGGGGAGGGCACAGGGGGTGAGCACAGCCTTCAACAGCTAATAAACATCGCATTCAATGACTGAATGCATGATATGATTGCAATTGTTGTCATATATTTGAACAGTTGTTGAATGACTGGAAGTGATGTCCAAATTGGCTGTAATTGCGGTGATTGTGTGGACCACATGTCTGGTGGGCGGAAGTGGCGATCGTATGACTGGAGGCGTGAAACAGGTCAGCGTTGACAGCGATAACGTCAAGAACTTGGCCGACTTGGCTCTGGATCGGTATAACAAGGGATCAAATGCCATCAATTATAAGCAGTTGATTGCCATCAAAGAGGCCAAACATCAGGTGGTGGCCGGCAGTAAGTGGTTCATCACATTCACCATCGGCGAGATCCAGTGCCCCAAGAATGGCGTCAACCCAGTCGCCGATGTCCACCACTGCCCCCACCAAACCACCACTAGTGTCTGTTGATATACATGTGATTGTCGAGTATGAATGGTATGTCTTAATTCCTGTGGATCTCTTACAGGGAGTCGAGACGTGTTCAGTGACTATATGGCAGAGGGTTTGGCTGAACAGTACTGAAATACTATCACTTGAATGCCATTAAGTCTTGCAATGTATGCAATGAATCATCAAATTGTTGCCACAAATCACACAATTTGATGAACCAAACCACTGGATATAGGATTGCATTCTTATGGGATGTTTATGTCATATATTGTCTCAATTTAATGATTTATTTGTAAATTAAATGCTTTTATTTTGACTCAAAAATAATTTCTAACAGACATTGGACTCGATTGTAGAGTCGATTTGAATATCATTTGATTCAGATTTAAATATTTTGTCTTATATTTTGAGTTTATTTAAAATATTGTATAAATTGTATTCAAAAAGTTATGAAAATGTTTAATAAATTTTTGATAAAAAGGAAGTTTATATCAAACATATTCTCAATTTCATTGTATATATCCTTTCCTTTGCGAAGATATATCT